GCAAGACACATGAAAGTCCGCATGGAGTTTGCTAAAAAACACCTGAAGGACTCCAAGATGGTGAGAAATAAGATTCTCTGGTCTGATGAGACCAAGATAGAACTTTTTGGCCTTAATTCTAAGCAGTATGTGTGGAGAAAACCAGGCACTGCTCATCACCTGTCCAATACAGTCCCAACAGTGAAGCATGGTGGTGGCAGCATACTGCTATGGGGGTGTTTTTCAGCTGCAGGGACAGGATGACTGGTTGCACTCGAGGGAAGGATGAATGCGGCCAAGTACAGGGCTATCCTGGACGAAAACCTTCTCCAGAGTGCTCAGAACCTCATACTGGGCCGAAGGTTCACCTTCCAACAAGACAATGGCCCTAAGCACACAGCTAAAATAACGAAGGAGTGGCTTTACAACAACTCTGTGACTGTTCTTGAATGGCCCAGCCAGAGCCCTGACTTAAACCCAATTTAGCATCTCTGGAGAGACCTGAAAATGGCTGTCCACCAATGTTTACCATCCAACCTGACAGAACTGGCGAGGATCTGCAAGGAGGAATGGCAGAGGATCCCCAAATGCAGGTGTGAAAAACTTGTTGCATCATTCCCAAAAAGACTCATGGCTGTATTAGCTCAAAAGGGTGCTTCTACTAAATACTGAGCAAAGGGTCTGAATACTTATGACCATGTGATATTTCAGTTTTTCTTTTTTAATAAATCTGCAAAAATGTCAAAAATTCTGTGTTTTTCTGTCAATATGGGGTGCTGTGTGTACATTAATGAGGAAAAAAAATGAACTTAAATGATTTTAGCATATGGCTGTAATATAACAAAGAGTGAAAAATTTAAGGGGGTCTGAATACTTTCCGTACCCACTGTAAATGCAAATATGTGTGTAAACATGTATAGTAAAGCCCAAGTACTGTTGGCTGGTAATTCAGCGGTGAACCCCGTTCAGTGTATGGCTCCGACATATGCCTGCCTGTTACTACCACACACATTAATGTAACTGTGTTCACTGTACATACATGCTCACTGACCACAGTGGTTTGCCATAGAGGGAAGCGTAGTGCATCCTACCTTCATGGAGTTTACATTAATTTGTAATAAATAACCAACTTCAATGTCTGATTGTCATTTTTATGCACTGGCATTTTAGAAAGAATAATTGAATATGTTGGCACTGCATATAATCAGGTGTTCCGTGTCATCCAGTCTTAACATGCTATCAGGTGAAAGAGCTTTATAAGACCATGTGTGACTGCGACTGACCTCCAGGAAAACATCAGAGGCATCATGGACAAGCATGACCAGAGTTCCTATACGAATGTAGTTGACACACCAGGAGAATGATAAGAGGACCATTGTGGCCAAATGGTGTATAATTTGTTCCTTAAAGTCCTAAAGGAGGTGAAAAAAATAAAATATTCATCTAACAAGAAGAAAAATTTGTATTATTTGTATTTTTATTTACCAAGGAGTTGCAGTTTTAGGTTCTTTACAGGAAAACAAAGAATCAAATCAAATCGAATTTTATTTGTATAACGCCAAATCACAACAAAAGTCATCTCAGGACACTTTACAAAGTAAGGTCTAGACCTTACTGTTATCACATAGGGAAAACTCAACAAATCCCCCTTGAGCAAGCAGTGGGGAGGAAAAACTCCCTTTAACGGAAGAAACCTCCGACAGACCCCGGCTCTTGGTGGGCGGCCTTCTGCCTCGACCGGTTGGGGTGAGTGGATAGAGGAGAGACAAAAGAAGAAAAGCAACAAGACAAAAACAATCAAACACTGATCAGGTCGATGTGGCTGGTGACTGCTCGTCAGAGACGTAGAGCTCCAGGGCCAGGGCAACCTGCAGAAAGGTAGAGGGAGAGAGAGAGGACACTACGGGAGAGAGGAGACACAAAGTTAGTGATGTGTCATGGTGGCATATAGAAGCACAGGGAGAGAGGAGAGGAGAGGAGAGGAGAGGAGAGGAGAGGGGAGGGGAGGGGAGGAGAGAAACTCAGAGGATCATTGGTCCTCCCAGCAGCCTAGGCCTATAGCAGCATAACTAAGGGAAGGCTCAGGGTCACCTGATCCAGCCCTAACTATAAGCTTTATCAAAAAGGAAAGTCTTAAGTCTAATCTTAATGGTAGAGATGGTGTCCGCCTCCCGAACTGAGACTGGGAGTTGGTTCCATAGGAGCGGAGCTTGATAGCTAAAGGCTCTGCCTCCCATTCTACTTCTGTGGACTCTAGGAACCACAAGTAAACCTGCACTCTGAGAGCGAAGTGCTCTGTTAGGATGATAAGGCTCTATGATGTCTTTAAGATATGATGGAGCCTTGTTATTAAGGGCTTTGTATGTTAGGAGAAGGATTTTAAATTCTATTCTGAATTTTACAGGGAGGCAGTGGAGAGAAGCTAATATGGGAGAGATATGATCTCTCTTGCTAGTTCCTGTCAGTACTCTGGCTGCAGCATTTTGGATTAACTGGAGGCTTTTTAGGGAATTATTGGGACATCCTGATAGTAAAGAGTTACAGTAGTCCAGCCTGGAAGTAACAAATGCATGGACCAGTTTTTCAGCATCACTTTGAGACAGGATGCTCCTGACTTTTGCAATATTGCGCAGGTGAAAGAAGGCAGTTCTAGAGACTTGGTTTATATGTGATTTAAAGGACATAAAAGGACATGGAGAGAGAGGGGGCCAAAGAGCACAGGGGGGAAACAAGTGACAATTTATCCTTTATGTGTCCATTCGTCTTCCGGTGGGAGTGAGCATCTTCCGGTTTTTTTGGTTGTGGCGCTTCAGCGGTATGGGCCCAAATAAGAATACACAGGTAAAGGAAGTTGATGACATAAAAAAGTCTCTGGATTTTTTAACTGACAAGATGACTACTGTGAAGAAGCAGCAGAACTGGCTTGTGGAACTTTTGGAGGAGGTTAAACAGCTGCGCCTCCAAAACTTCAAAAAGGACAAGCAGATCGCAGAGCTAGAACGGAGGGTGGACGACCTGGAGCAATACTCACGGATGAATGACTTGCTCATCACCGGTATTCCCATCAAACCACGCTCATATGCACATGCGGTAGTCGCGGACAGCGGAAATGAGCCAGGGGAGAAGGAAGTGCGCTCTGTGGAGCAACAAGTGATAGTCTTTCTTCAGAGCAAAGGAATAGAGCTGGATCCGGAGTGTGTCGAAGCATGCCACCCGCTACCTAGAAGGATTAATAACGACAGACTGGCGGTCATTCTGATACTTGTCAGCAGGCAAAACAAGACGGCATTTTTAAAGCAAAGTCGTAAACTCAAGGGGACGAATGTATATATAAATGAACATTTAACAAAAAAGAATGCTGATATAGCCAGGAAAGCATGATACCTTAAGAAACAATGAAAAATTCAACACACATGGGTAACAAGTGGCAAAATCTTCATCAAGTTAAATGGATCTCCAGAGGAGGCAAAAGTTCTCACAATAAGAAATCTCGAGGACTTGGATAAGTATCAGTGATCATAATGTATATCAACCATCTGGAAGCAAATAAGGTAACATTTGACTTATACTATTACAATGAGTACTGAACCACATATAAGTGATCAAATGGACAATTACACAGAGTCAGACTTATTTATCTAATTTTTTTTCTACCATAAATAATACCTGTAATTATTATACAAATGATCAATATTCCAATAATTTCATTACCAAGGACAAATTGTCTATTATCCATTTTAATAGTAGAAGTATGTATACAAATTTCAATGCATTAATAGAATATTTAAATAACTTTACTTATCCCTTTAGTGTTGTAGCGATATCTGAAACTTGGTTCAATCAAGGGAGAGGAATTGACTTTGAAATAGATGATTATGACCTTCATTACGTAAATAGATGAAACAAACTAGGAGGTGGGGTTGTGTTATATGTACATAAATCTATAAATTATTCGGTGCTAAACAATATGTCTACTGTATGTGATAATGTAATGGAATGTCTAACAATAGAAATTAATAATGGAAAGAAAAAAAAATGTTATTATAAGTTGTGCTTATAGATCACCTGGGTCAAGTGTTGATACCTTCAACGATGAGATGGAAAATTTGTTTTCAGCAGTTTGTAATAAACCCTTATTTGTTTGTGGGGACTTCAACATTGACCTATTAAATCCAAACAAACATAAACTGACCAATGAATTTATTGAAAGAATGTATTCCATGTCCTTACTCCCAACAATTACTAAACCTAGTAGAATCACGTCAAATAGTGCAACCTTAATTGATAACATTTTTACAAATAACTTGACAAATAACATAATTAACGGTCTGCTCATTTCTGATATTACAGATAATTTACCGGTTTTTACCATATATGATTGTAATGTGTCTAAACCTAAAGACAACAGGAATGTAATCTATAAAAGATTGCAAACTCAAGAAGCTATTAATGCATTTAATGACAACTTGAGAGTGCAAGACTGGAGCTCTGTGTGTGGAGAGATGGACACAGACAGAGCCTATAATAACTTTTTGGTAATATTTACAACACTATATGATAAGCATTGTCCATTTCAGTTTACAGTAAACAGAAGAATTATTCAAAATGTCCTTGGATGACTAACGGTTTACAAAATGCATGCAAAAAGAAAAACAATCTGTATAAATTATTCATTAAATTGAGAACAAAAGATGCTGAGAAAAGATATAAGCTGTATAAAAACAAGTTAACTGAGGTAATGAGAGTTGCTAAGAAATTATATTATAATAAATGAATAATTGATAATAAAGCTAATATAAAAGGGGCATGGGATGTATTAAATAGTATTCTCAAAAAAAGGATTGTAAAAAAAACCCACTTACCCAGCATATTTTGCTGACTCAAATAGGGAATATCATAACATGAACAGGGTAGTCAACAGGTTTAATAATTTTTTTGTAAACATTGGTCCGGACTTGGCTGCAAGAATTTCAGGCGAACAAATAGAGCACAAAATTGAAAAAAAATTCAAATACATCTATCTTTCTGTCCGCAGTTAGCAAGGAAGAAGTAATGGAAATTGTCCAAAAGTCTAAAAATAAATTTTCTATGGACTGTCACTCCATCAATATGGCACTATTAAATAAAGTTATATACAATATTAAAATGCCTCTAGCACACATCTGCAATCTGTCGCTTCAAAATAGTTGTGTTCCCAATAAAATGAAAATTGCAAAAGTCATTCCTTTGTTCAAAAATGGAAATAAGTATAATTTTACTAATTATAGACCAATTTCACTGCTCCCTCAATTTTGGAAAATCTTAGAAAAAGTATTTAACACCCGTTTAGAAAAATTTGTTGAAAAACACAAATTGATTAACAAAAGTCAATATGGATTTAGAAGTAAAAGATCTACTGCATTGGCTATAATTGATGCAACAGAAGAATTATCAAAGGCACTGGATAACAAAAAATTTACCATTGGTATATTTATTGATTTGAAAAAAGCCTTCGATACTATCAATCATGCAATTCTATTAAGAAAGCTTGAAAGGTATGGGATACGAGGGATGGCTGGTAAATGGGTAAAGAGGTATTTAAGTGACAGAATGAAGTATGTGCAAATGGGTGAGTTCTCATCTAATTGTTGTGTTATTTGTTGTGGTGTCCCGCAGGGGTCAGTATTGGGCCCCAAACTATTCAACCTATATATTAATGACATATTTAATGTTTCACAGTTACTTAAATGTGTTTTGTTTGCAGATGACACCAATATATTCTATTGTGATGATAATTATGATACACTTATCAATGTTGTAAATACCAAATTAAGGAAAATTAAAAAATGGATTGATAGTAATAAACTATCCGTAAACTTAGTTAAAACTAAAGCTATACTATTTGGTAATTATAAAACAAAGATGGAAAGGATGATTGAGATAGATGGGATACAAATTGGAAATGTTTCGGAAACAAAATTCTTGGGGGTTACTATAGATAATAAACTAAATTGGAACTCTCACATCAGACACATAGAAACTAAAGTTTCTAAAAGTCTTGCAATAATAAATAAAGCTAAATATGTCCTTGATTATGAGACACTTCATACCCTGTATTGTTCTCTGATTTTACCATACTTAACTTACTGTGTTGAAGTATGGGGAAATAACTACAATAATTCAATACAGTCACTAGTAATTTTACAAAAAAGGGCGATGTGGATCATACATAAGGTTGAATATTTTGAGCATACAAATCCACTTTTTTTCAAATCAAAGTTATTAAAAATTCAGGATCTTGTTAAAATCAACACGGTACAATTTCTATTTAAAGCATTTTACAGTCTATTTCCTGCTAATATTCAAAAGATATTTACGCAGCAAGAGCAGTTGTATAGTTTAAGGGGCTATGGGTACTTTTTAATACCAATGG